TGAAGCAATTATATATTACTTGCATTTGTCCTAATTCTTATCTACTCAATTCCAAAGAACCTTAAAAAGGAAAGCAAATTATATTATTTACATGTGTGCAAAAACAACGGATCATATGCGGACAGATAGAGCCCTCAGGTTGTGGGCATTGTGGATTCTGAGAGCGCAAGCGGATAGTAATAGCAAAGTCGCTATGAGTGAAAAGTAGCGGGAGAGTTGTGGAGTGAGCGTTGCATTCACTTTATCTATGTGTGGAAAGTGTGATCTGTTGTTGTGTTGGTATGTTGCCGGCTTAGCGTAGACGATAGCTGTTCAGAGAGTTTGAGATGCGTAGATGCGAGCAGTGTAGAGTGTGAGCTGTTGTTGTGTTGATGTGAAGGCAACTTAGACTAGACCACATCCTGATGAGACAGACGTATAAGCCCAGACGATTGTTGCAAAGAAGTGTAAATAGTTTCCGATAATTAGTGAAATTGTGTGAGTGTGTTAGTATTAAATATGTTCATGCTTTAAACATGAAAATTACGTACAATAGAATACGTTCCACAACTGGCTGCTGTTAGAGGACACATAAAGAAAGGAAGAGATAGAGAGAGAGGCTGAAGCGAGCACTGGGATTTCTATATGCTCTATAATTGGTAATCAATCATCAGTTTTTTATCATTTAAAATTAATGCATTATTAATTCATTAGAGCATAACCAATAACTGCTGATGAGGTAACTCATTTACAACACCTCACTACTTTTAATGCAAAGCAAGTAAATTAACATTCTGTTGAAAGCCAAAAAAAATTCATACTTTACTCTCTTGACGAAGAGTGTCTGAGAATTTGAAATATCTTGAGCGCCTTTTCAAGTGCGTGACATTAACAGTTGAATGCAATATTGAAAATTGCATGAATGAATAAAAGACACCGAACGTGGGGTAGGAAAAAAGGGATAAAGAGAGCGAGACAGAGTGGGGAGAGTGAGAATAAGAAAGAAGACACTCGTAATGTAAGTTTTCTCGGCTGCAACTCATCATCAACGTCATTTGCAAAGTTCGCGTGTGTACCCTATACACACTAAAATGTGGGTATATTAAATATATATGATTATATATATATTGTGTGTATAATATTGTATAATACAAGTTTATTTATAGCATTTACAAATAAATCGATACTGATGTGTATATTATTGTCTGTCCGTTAAATTGAAAATGTATCGAAATTTATGTATAGCTTGATATGTAGATGCAGGGTATTTTTTAGTCGGTCTACTGGGTATCTTGAAGACTTCCACTTGTTTTCTTGTTGTTGCCGTCGGCATCAAGGAGTGCAGCAACAACAATCAGGCAACAGCTTCAGTTACTTTTAGTGGCATGCCCCTTGCCATACCATGTCATCATTCCCGCCATCTGTGGCAACGTCTCCTCCTTGCCTTGTCCGCCCACGTCCTGTCGCGTCCTGCATAAGTGCCGAGTGCTTGCCGCAAATAAATTTGATTTGCATGTGCAAATGAACGTGGAATTGAATTTTCTTATGCATGAAATGTGCGCATAATTGGTCTATGGCACACTCACACTAACAAACACATACACACACACACACATGTATACAAAACCGTTCAAACAGCAGATAGACATATAACATAGTAGAAGAGAAGCTGAAATGCTATTTAGCCTTTTATCACTAGACAAATGCCCCAGTTGTGGCATTGCTCGTCATTGCGTAATATACGAAATTAAATTCAATTTCAGAATTTCTATATTAGTTTTTAGACATAATTATATTGTAAATAGGTAGAAATGGCAACCAAAATAGCAGCGAAGATACTTTATGATGTTATTTTCGAACTAATTACAATTGAGAAGATGGAAATATAAATGCTCTTCACATAAGTAATATACAATAACATAGTATATAATATATAAGAGATATAGAAGAATAATGGCGAGTCAGCAAATAGTTTAAATGGTTTAGTACATTTTTTGAAAAATCAACAAAATTTATATTTTTTCCAAAAAATTTTTGTGAACGTTGAAAGCATATAAGAGTTTAAAAAAATTTTTCGAAATTCTTCGAGCATGAAAGCTTTAAGGAGTTTTACTCTAAAATTAAATTTTATTATTTAGTATTTGCTGTAATCAAAATTATTCTATAAATTTAAGTAAACAACTCAGATCTCTCTCATTATTTGAATTGCTAACAAATATTTAGCATATTTTATAGAGTTTAGAATTAAACAATAACTGACTAGATGTTTTCCTACATCACCTCCCTCAACAAGAAAGCTTAGCAATTTCTGGTAATGAAGGATTAAGTGGATGCCATTAAATTATACAATAATTGGAATAGACATATTTATTTAATTACACTCCAAACACAATGAATCAAGTGTCAAGTGTGTTTGACAGTCATTATTTTCAACTTAAGAGGATGTTAAGTAGCCAGGGGAACATAATGTATAATGCCCATCGTACTGCTGCAGCACACACTTGACAGACTTGTGGAAATATAATGCCCATTGTAGCGGCGCAGCTTGAATAATTAAAAATACAATATTGTAGTGCAAACAGTTGGGCAAAATGTGGAGCGTTTTGTTGTTGGCTAACTGGCATCCACCCTGGCTGCACTTAGCCAAAGATATCCACTTACAGGGCTCAACAGCTCCCGTATAGCCAAGCCGAGCTACGCCAAGCCGAGCAGGCAACCAACTAACACTGACGACTGACAGTGGAAATCCTGACAAGCTGTGCAAACAATCGAAGCACAAGGCATGACAAAAATGCAGCCTGTACAGTGATTCGTCTGCAGGCGAACGTGAACGGTACGTGCAGATGCGCTTGCTTATAGGTCAGCCAGCCAGAAATGAGGCGAACATGTGGGTGGATAGAGCGGCAGATATGCCCTTAACTCTAACTAGAGATGACACCGTGATAATATAGAAGAAACCACAAGCAATTTGTGAAATATATTTTGCTAGCGAGTGCTTTGACCAGAATGTGATGAAAATTCATATCACAAGCTATTAGAATATATATATATTTGTGTATTATATATCAACTGATTTTAATAAGTTTTGGTTATATAACAAAATCAATAAGTTCTATAATATAGTAGTTTCTGTTCAGCAAATTTGACTTTTATATGAATTTTATTAATTTTGCCTTGAATAGGTTTGACTGCTTAAACTACTTAACACAAATTTTGAGGCACTGGGTAAATTACGCAATATAAAGATTATTCTTTGTTCTTTAGCATGTGCTTTATTATATTAATTTATTAATTTAAATTTTACCATGCGAAACTTTTTTAATTGCAACAACTAAGGTCGCAGTCAAATCTTGCAAGAAAATATTCTCCATAATTTTTAGGCGATAGTCTAATATATAAATATTTCAAAATATTATATTATTTTTATTATATTATATTATATTTGAATATAAAATAATTTAGTTTATTTATATTTATTTGAAATATATTTAACATATATTTTATTACATTTTTTAAACAATTTTGAGGACCGTGCTTTCCAATTAGAATCTAGTGACATATTTTGCATAGTCTTCATAAATTGCAATAGATTATGCGATGTTTTATTGTATTTCAAAATATTTTCCATCTCTAGTTGAAGGGCATTTTGTACGTAACGCGCAAAGTCGACATCGTCATTGTCAACGCTTTTTGGCTTTGCTTTGCTCTCTTTGCCGACTTACCGTTAGCATTACCATTCCCCATTCGGCCATTCCCCGCGCAGTTGCTCTTTGCCGTTGCCGTTACCGTTACTGTTACTGTTTTATTTATTGTTTGCGCTCATTTGAGTCAATTACGACAAACGGAGATTGTTAATTGTTTTGCTGCTGCTGCTGCAGCGGCCGCCGCTCAAGTCCAAGACAAACAAGTCGCATCCTGTCCAGTGGGTAATGGGAAGCAGCAGGGGAGAGACGCGCACTCCATTTTGTTTTCTAGTATTTATTCGTTTGCCTCTTTTGTCTTTGTTTCGCTGCTGCTGCTGATGCTGCGGCTGCTACTCAGCTGCTACTGCTTATTGTTTGGCTTTTGGTCTCTGTTGGCTTTTGTTTGTTTACTTTTGGCCAATAAACGGTGTCTCCCCGAACCCGTCGCCTCGTCGTCGTACTCCTTGCCCCAGTTCTGATCTACAGCGCGTTTAATGGCGCGTTGAACGTTACATTTGCTCAACGTCTACCACTACATCGACACAGTCAACGAAGCCGTCTCCGCCCCCGCCCACGCTCCGTCCCTCTCCCGAGCGTCACCTTCTCGTTTCAACCGTTTTTCTTGCTGCTCGACTTGTTGTCCGTGTCTCTTGCGTAAACTTTAATTGGCTGTCAGTTCATTGAGGTAAGTTTTAATTAATTTTTTTCGACCATGTTCAATGTGAGTGTGGGAGCTTCCATACTACATACTACAGCTAACTGTATGTGAAACTCAGCAGCAGCCCGGCCAGCTAAGTGGTGCTTTCAGCTAACCACTTAAATGCTTTGCTAATTGTTTTGCCAACATTTTCTGAATTCTACTTAAAGGTTGTCAATCTTTGGAAAAGTACATTTCTTCTGTGTACTCGACATAAATTATTAATTTGGTTTTATTCGTCATAAATTCGTTTAGATAATGGAACGAAGTCATGTTTTATTTTTTATAATAATTTTGTGAATTAATTTCATGTCATTAAGGTCGATATCAAGAACAGAGCCCAAAAATATATATGAAATATATAAAAAGTACAATACTAGTATTTTTATCAAAAGTATAACAAATTTCGTGTCATAAAAAATAACAAAAGCTTAAGAATTTTCTTTTGCCATAAACACGCTGATGAGCAGTGCAATGTCAGCTAGCGTCACCATTTTGATGATGCAATACTTTATATTTAAAAGTTTTACATCAGCTTTTGTAAATAAATAAATATATATATATATATATATATATATAAATAAATATATATACATAGCTATTGTATATATATATATACATATATACAAGTTTATTTATTAAATTAATGTCAAAAATTCTAACGTGTCAATTTAGAATTTATACTGATTGTCCGTAATTTATATCATTACTCCAACCGTGGAATTTGTCTGGATCCTACAAATATATAAAAAATAGAAGTGAATAATATTAAAGACATGGCAAATAAAAGTAATTTTTCTTTTGATTTTTCCACTCACCAATTTGCCACATTTTCTTTACCCTATCCCGATCACTGGCTAAAAGTCGTTCTTTATATTTACCTTGTGTAAAATCATCAAGGATTTTACAATTTCGAGACTTTACTAATCTGGCAGCTTTACGTGTACGTCTGATCCTCGGATAATCATCTGGCTGAATTGAATCTTCCTCATCAGAGTTCTGCTGCCTACGTTTAGGCACTTTGATATGCGAGCATTCTGCTTCACCGGAAATTTCATATTTATCATCGCGTGAGCTCGCGATCTGGTAACAGTCGCTGGTTCTAATGATATTCGACGAGACTGTATCGTCTGTGGATTCGATATCTAGACCCATGATACTTTGCAGTTTTTTGGTAAATTTCGGAATTGGTTTTTCGACTCCGTGGGCTAATGTTTTGAGCATTCGTCGTCTTTTTAGATAATGCTCCTTCAGTATCTCATTTGACTGGCGGATTTGCTCGGCTGCTAGCATGTTCTCAAACTGCCTTGCATCAAACGGAGTTGTACCATTACGAGCGTTTTTCTCATTGACCAGCCTGGTCGGCGATGACTTACATAGATCACTGGAGTAATTTAGAAGGTTCTTTTTTTTCAGTGCGTGTTTCCTTAATTGATTATACGTTGTGACGTGACGATGGGGAGCCCAGCCTAAATTAAAGTCGAGAATTGTCAATTTATATGTGGCTTAGTTCATTCGCAACGTTTACTAACCTTTAGGAAATCTTTTTGTCAATCCAAAGAAATTCAAATTGTTAATTTTATTGATATTTTTTACGGCCATACTTTTTATTTTTTACGGGATAAATTTTACGGGTTTACTAGTTACTTAGCAATTTACGTGTAAAAATTTGTTGTCTGACTGAATTAGAAATATTTATTACGATTATGAATGTATGTTAATGAACTTAGCTAACTAAGCCTACTATTTTATAATAAGTCATTTAGATGTTTCACCTATCGAATCTAAATATTATATGCACGGACTATTTCGATTTCGAGAGAACTACTAAGTGAATTTGTTGAGCAAGCACTCTAAAAATTATGTGTGATCCCCACAATGAATGTCAAATGATGACAGAAACGATGCGCTTCATTAGCGAAATATCCCGTCTAATGTCTATTAAGTGGCTCCAAGAGAAAAAGTTTATTGGGTATTTGGTAATATTTAATGTTTCATCTAAAAAGGTCGATTCACCCAAGTTGTCAGTACTTCAATAATCCTTAACCGAACATTCTCATCATAATGATGCTCATCATCATCATCGTTGTCTCGTGTTGTTGTTGTTGTTTTAGCAGCATGTCCTGGAATCGCACCCGGAACGTGCTGCAGCTCCTGGTTCCAGCTGAAGCGACTCGTTTAGAAAAATTGCTCACGCACGGGTTCATTTTGGATAGGTGAGCCGTTGGGCAGGTGGGCAGGTGGGCAGTTGGGCAGGTGGTTGGATTTTAAGTGCTGGCAGTTCTATGTTGTGGCTTTTCGTAGCTCCTGATTTTGTTTACCATTTACCGTTCAACATTTTCTACTCTGTGTATCGTTCGTCGCCTAAGCGCATTAAAAGTTTTTCTTTTTCTCTCTTTTTCTTTATATTTTTTTTCTCTTTCGACGATTTGCTTTATTTCGTGCACTTTATTGAAAGCACATCACGTAGTGCACCTGATTTGCTGACAATCCTTGAACATTCTAAATAGGCGGTCCGGCACAGGCTTAAGACTGGACTCAAAGCAACTACCCGAGCTGCATACGAAATTCGTGCCACATTTTGTGGCAACCTTTTAATTAAGATTAATTGCTTTCAGTATTTAATAATTTCACACGCTCTCAAGAATATTTAAAAAGTATTCCGCTCGAGGACCCTAAACGTAATTTATGCGACCAAATGATGAAGAATATTTGGTAAGACAGTTGATAATAATAATAATAATAATAATAATAATAATAATAATGGCAATTGTTATTTATTTAGCTATTAAAAATGGAAAGTTAGTATTCAATGATTATGTGAAAATGTGTGTTGCAGGCAAAGGAATGCATTTCTCTCGATAGCAGATTCCCTTTCATTATTATCGATAACAATCGATTATTTGATTTCGTTTTCTTAGCCATGGGAATGCTTAGGTCCTTCGAATTTTGAATACCTCCCATTCGTCCTTCCATTAACTATATATTCCTGTACTATACATTGAAAATTGTATATATGAAAGAAGTATAGCTGCTCTGCACTCGATTCAGAGTATCTACCCGACTTGAGTTGGCTTAAGATAGAATATATTTGAAGAATTGTAATTTGTCTCTTCCAACTGGATAGCTTTTTATCTTGAACTTATTGCCTAATGCTAATCAGTAATAAAAAAGGTATAAATATTAATAACGTATTTACGAGAGAATTTAATGGCCTTGAGCAATGTTTAGATTACATATTTTAGAGGGGTTCAATTTAAGGCCATATAAATTACTGTTTAGCAATATAGGTAACACGTGGCCTTTTCGAACTTTGTTTTACTGGTCTTGGTGCAGCTCATGTTGGGTCCGGCAGCTGCTGTTGAGTTGCATGTTGAGCTACTGGAGCTCACTTCAATGCCTTCATCAGCCAAGTGCTTTTGTTGACTTGTAGCCAAGCGGTCAATATAAACGTCAAACAAGTAGAGCATAATTTTGGCTAATTGGTTTTCTCATGTCTTTCAGTTCAGGTATGTTTCAGGTGAACGTCATTTTGGCTAATTGGTTAGTCACGTGTTACTCGGTTCATGTATGTTTCAGGTGTGTGCTTTTAGATGTAGGCTGCTACTACAGCCGCTTGGAAGTTAGAATCATATTGAGTTATATTTTTAAATAATTTTACTTTTATAGTTTGTATCTCCGCGCTTTAATCTGAAAATTGCATGCGTAAAAAAATTCAAGGGAAAATGCTTTTTTATTTATTAACTCAAATTCTCACAGGTATTTTTAGCTGTTGTCCACGTATTGCTTAACCATTATTGTAGCCTTAAGTCGTAGTCTGGGGCGAGTATCTAACAATACGATTGTGAAGCACGTGTTCCAGGCAGCGTGAGGCTGCGCTCCACTCTACTCCATCCATTAGCATGGGTAACAGCCGCGGGATGAGCAGCTTGTATAGCAGCACGCGGTACAGCAAGCGGTGCAGCAGGGGCTGCAACTCTGACTGCAACAATACATATAGCAGGGACTGATACAGGGGCCGCAACACGAACTGCAACACGCACTGCAACACGGACTGCCACACGGACTGCCACACGGACCGCAACCAGGACTGCAAACAGGACTGCAACACGGATCGGAAAAAGTAGAGCACATCTTGACTTGGCAGTTGAGAACGCAACTAAGAGCAAAAACAAAAGCCAATCTCAACTTGAATTTCATGTCAGAAGTACTTAAATAATACTCACATTAAAAGGAACAACTTCACAAAAATAGATTCGGCATATTTGCTATCGCATTGTGCGAGTATCAAGTAGAGCCTTTAACATCTCCTTCAGTTTCACACAAAAACGATCTCACAAATGTCTAACTACTCAAAAGACCACAACCTGCGCGAAGGAGAATTAGCACCATTTAATTGTATATAAATTATATATCAATACTCACATGCCTGCGGACAATCACAAGTATCACACAAACAAATACGTATCTGTAGATGTTTATGGAGCGGCAGTCTAAAGAATTATGATTCGAATTTGTTGTGCATGAGCGAGTAGTCGAAAACATCAAGTCACGGCCTGCTTATTTAATTTTATGTATCGGCACTGTAACTGTCAAATATTTCAAATCGAAACGAGAGCAGCTCAAGGTGAAAACCAAGAAAATATTTTGGCTGTTACGACAACGGTCTGAACTTAGTCTTGAGAACAAATTAAGGCTACATAAGGCCGTACTGAAGCCAGCATGGACCTACGCATTGCCGTTATGGGGTACAGCTAGTAATTCAAATATCGAAATTATACTGCGATGTGACTAATTATAACATCCACAAAGAGGTTCAACTGCCCCTTGTTAAAGAAGACATACAACTATATGCAAACAGATACATGAATAAACTACATAACCACGATAAGGCACTAGCACTAAGACTACTGGATGACTCAAGCAACCACAGGCGACACAAAAGGTTTCATGTCCTAGACCTGCCTCACAGAAATATATAAATATGTAAAGTAGGTAAATATATGGATTGATCTAAGTGGAGACCAAGCCACCCGTTTACGTAATATTCTTGTTAAACAAATTTATTTATTGTCTAGTATAAGACAGATTGCAAATAAAAAAAAGCATTTAAAATAAAAAAAAATATATATATATACTTAATGAACGAATATAGCAATCGATTAACCAAATATTCATGTTGAACTTGAAACAAACTTTTCACGATTCGAAAGCTAAAAGGTGGGCAGCTGAAATATGCAGCTCAGGAATTTCTATTTACTATAGATAAAAATGTCTGCAATTTTAGGGACAGTGGCTTTTCGTTCAGATAAAAGTGTCTATGACAGACATATAAATTACATGAGCTGCCTTCGCTTAGAGATTAAAGTTCATTAACAGCGGGACTAAGTGAAAAGGCAAATATTCTACAGGTCAACCTTACAGTTGAACAATTTGTATATAAGTAGCTGAGTAAAGCTGCATAGAATTAGTAATAGCCGACTGTTCGATATGGTAAGTTCTGCTTCAAAGTTCCTTTCACCTACCAGTTTTTCACAAAAAAATCTTTAGAATCTCAGGTATTTTCTGCTTATTAGCATCTATCAAACGTTCTCTCTTGTAATGGGGAAAGGAGTTCCAGTTAAATTTGTCCAATATCCAAAGCCCGCAGTACCTCATGAGTTCTGTGCTGTGTTTCCGTTCCATCCCGTCTGCATCAAATTAATGCTTTTACTGAACGCAAACAAAAGACCTCCTACATTTACATCAGCCACAGTCACTACTCCAGTACCCACCACAGTGACTACTCCAGAACCGACCACAGTGACTACTACACAACCCACCACAGTGACTACTCCAGAGCCCACCACAATTACTCTTCCACCAGGCTTGTGTGCTTTGTTCCCGATGCTTCCATTGTGCTTAACAACTCCAAGCTCAAGCACAACAACAACAGCTCCAACTACCGTAACTACTCCGCAGCCAACTACAGTTACTACGCCACAGCCAACCACTGTTACTACTCCAGAACCCACCACAATTACTCTTCCACCAGGCTTGTGTAATTTGTTCCCGATGCTTCCATTGTGCTTAACAACTCCAAGCTCAAGCACAACAACGACAGCTCCAACCACTGTTACTACTCCAAAGCCAACCACTGTGACTACTCCGCAGCCAACCACAGTGACTACTCCGCAGCCAACTACAGTTACTACGCCACAGCCAACCACTGTTACTACTCCAGAACCCACCACAATTACTCTTCCACCAGGCTTGTGTAATTTGTTCCCGATGCTTCCATTGTGCTTAACAACTCCAAGCTCAAGCACAACAACGACAGCTCCAACCACTGTTACTACGCCACAGCCAACCACAGTAACTACTCCGCAGCCAACCACTGTGACTACTCCACAGCCCACCACAGCCACGAATCCCTGGCCAACTCTTCCGGAAGGATTTTGTGATATATTCCCGACGTTTGTGTTCTGCTTAACAACTCCAAGCTCAAGCACAACAACAACAGCTCCAACTACCGTAACTACTCCGCAGCCAACCACAGTCACTACTCCGGAGCCAACCACTGTGACTACTCCGCAGCCCACCACAACCACGAATCCCTGGCCAACTCTTCCGGAAGGATTTTGTGATATATTCCCGACGTTTGTGTTCTGCTTAACAACTCCAAGCTCAAGCACAACAACAACAGCTCCAACTACCGTAACTACTCCGCAGCCAACCACTGTCACTACTCCACAGCCAACCACTGTTACTACTCCAGAGCCAACCACAGTGACTACGCCACAGCCAACCACAGTCACTACTCCAGAGCCAACCACTGTGACTACTCCAGAACCCACCACAGTTAGTCTTCCACCAGGCTTGTGTGATTTGTTCCCGATGTTTCCATTGTGCCCAACAACTCCAAGCTTAAGCACAACAACAACAGCTCCAACCACAGCTACTACTCCACAGCCAACCACTGTTACTACTCCAGAGCCAACCACTGTTACTACTCCACAGCCAACCACAGTCACTACTCCAGAGCCAACCACTGTGACTACTCCAGAACCCACCACAGTTAGTCTTCCACCAGGCTTGTGTGATTTGTTCCCGATGTTTCCATTGTGCCCAACAACTCCAAGCTTAAGCACAACAACAACAGCTCCAACCACAGCTACTACTCCACAGCCAACCACTGTTACTACTCCAGAGCCAACCACTGTTACTACTCCACAGCCAACCACTGTTACTACTCCAGAGCCAACCACTGTTACTACTCCAGAGCCAACCACTGTCACTACTCCACAGCCAACCACTGTTACTACTCCAGAGCCAACCACTGTTACTACTCCACAGCCAACCACTGTTACTACTCCAGAGCCAACCACTGTTACTACTCCACAGCCAACCACTATCACTACTCCACAGCCAACCACTGTTACTACTCCAGAGCCAACCACTGTTACTACTCCAGAGCCAACCACTGTCACTACTCCACAGCCAACCACTGTTACTACTCCAGAGCCAACCACTGTTACTACTCCAGAGCCAACCACTGTTACTACTCCAGAGCCAACCACTGTCACTACTCCACAGCCAACCACTGTTACTACTCCAGAGCCAACCACTGTTACTACTCCACAGCCAACCACAGTCACTACTCCAGAGCCAACCACTGTTACAACTCCAGAGCCAACCACTGTCACTACTCCACAGCCAACCACTGTTACTACTCCAGAGCCAACCACTGTTACTACTCCAGAGCCAACCACTGTCACTACTCCAGAGCCAACCACTGTCACTACTCCACAGCCAACCACTGTTACTACTCCAGAGCCAACCACTGTTACTACTCCAGAGCCAACCACTGTCACTACTCCACAGCCAACCACTGTTACTACTCCAGAGCCAACCACTGTTACTACTCCAGAGCCAACCACTGTCACTACTCCACAGCCAACCACTGTTACTACTCCAGAGCCAACCACTGTTACTACTCCAGAGCCAACCACTGTCACTACTCCACAGCCAACCACTGTTACTACTCCAGAGCCAACCACTGTTACTACTCCAGAACCCACCACAGTCATTAATCCCGGGCCAACTCTTCCACCAGGCTTGTGTGATTTGTTCCCGATCTTTCCCTTGTGCCCAACAACTCCACGTCCTTAATAACAGCTATAATTCCTTGAAAAACAACATTCAGAAGGACGACTTCAGTTACCAATGTCCACAGACCGTTGTGGTCCTTGGACTCCCAATCCCACAACTTGTGCTCAATTCTGTTGGCTTGCATTGGTTGTCAGTTAATCAAAATACAACATTTTTTAAATTAAAAATAAAATATATATATTGAAGCAAATAAGGATTAGTAATTTAACTAAAAAAAGATTTTAATAAAGATATGTACTCAGAAATGTATTTTCGTTGGTTTTTACTGTTGGGCGCTATTTAAAACGTATTACAGGGAAAATAATTGTTAAATCCACAAAATTGTATTATGCATCTTTATTATATGTAAAAGGCTGGCGAATTGAGTGTTGAAGCGTTATGATTACAGCCTAATGAATTAATCAAAATTATGAACTTTAATCAGTTGAATTTGTATGTCCCATGGCTGTGGGAGAGGATACTCTGACTTTATATAGGATATATATTAACAGCTTGTGAGGTCGAGATGATTTTAGTTTGATCTTTGGCATCTCAACTGGCAATACATGCAGAAAATCAGAATATATATATCAGATTATAATTGTTTAAGCTTCATTTTCGACAGACAGTTTTCGACAAGATGAATTGGTAAATATCTGGAAATATAGAAAAAGACTCATTCGTATGAAACGAATATCAAAACTGGTTTTTAGTTCGTACCTAAATACGAATGGATTTGAAAATAGTTTTTGAGTTGTATTTGATTTAGTAAATCAGTAAATTATTCGGAATGGACTTCTTTGTGATTCTATTACAAAAATTATATTCATTTAAAAATAATTAAAATTAGAAAACCAAATGATTATATTCAAGTATTTAACTTAAATTCTATTACAAATAATTGAACAAATAATAAATAAAAAAAATAACAAATAATTAAAAACATAAAACCAAATATATATACTCAAATATTTAATCAAACTTGTAAAATCAATTACCTGATTTTGACAGTATATGTATATATTCACATATCTATATATCCACAAAACAAATACTTTCACGAGTGAAACAGATTACAATAGAAACCTTCCACAAACTTTTGCTTTCCCAAACTGATAGCACACACGTAAATAAATAACATTATAACATAAATAACATTATCTTACGTTTACATGACTAGTTCAATAACATTCGATATCGCTAAGCATTCTTGAGCTGCCCATTTTCTTGTAGCTGTATGTAATGAACTAGGAACAATACAAATATTCAGTGCTATTCCAGACTTTCAGGTATTTGTTGGCCTTTGTTATATTCCAAGCCATCTCGCTGCGCGTAATAAATCTAAGGAGACAGTTCCAATCTCTACTCTTCCGATTTCAACTACGGCGACAACTCCAGTCTCCACTACTCAAGTTTCAACTATGGAGATAACTCGAGTATCTACTACTTCAGCTTCAACTAGGGAAACAACTCCAGTATCTTCCACTCCAGCTTTAACAACGGAGTCAACTCCAATCTCCTATTCTTCCAGCTTCAACTGCGGAGACAACTCCAGTCTCCTCAACTCTGACATCAACTACTAAAGCTTCTCATCATAATCATCATGTGCACGACTACTATCATAATAATTATATTTCATTAATTCTACCTAATGCTATCTCTCCTCTTTTAAGACCAATCGTTAGTCCACATTTGTTATTCCCATTACTTCCAGCTATTTCGCCGTCACCTAGCTTAGCTATACTTGCCTTCCCATCGTTACCAACTTTACCCAAAATACCGCCCTGATTCCTCCGACTCTTGCAATTCCTTCTGCTCGTCCTACTCCTGCCGGATTTTCAGTGGATGCTAACGCCACCTACATTATCGTTACTATCACTGCTTTCCACAAATTCCGTCTCTTCCTACTATTTCTCCTCCACCAAGTCCTCCTAGACTACCGGTTCCACCTCTTCCTATTATTTCTCCTCCACCAATCCCTCCTCAGTTACCGGGTTTACCTTTACCAATTCTGTCAGTTCCATTGTCTCCTTCTGGTGCGCCGAGCCCGTCTTCCGACGCAGCCAACACTCATCAATCCTTCCGTTCTACCTACTCCACCCAGACTACCAGGTCTTCCCACTCCTCCTCTCCCACTACCAGGACTTCCTCTTCCACCGACAGCTGTTCCAAATCCCTTTAGATTTTTTTTTGGAAGGCACAATAAAGATAAAGCTCTAGTGACTCTCATACTTTTAAAAATTAATATTTTGGCATTTACTTATTTAAAATTTAGTTATATATTTACAATCTGAAGTAGTTGATTTCGTAGTTATGCAAGATTCCTCGATTTCGTTCTGAAGATAAGGTTAACAAGAGGGACCGCAGCTACCATAGCAAGATCCACATGGTGCATAACAAGGGGCATGGCCACATGGACCGCAGGGACCACAAGGCCCACAACAGGAGCCAAAACTTGGCCCACAACAAGGCTCACAGCATGGTCGTCGGATTGGAATAAGAGTATAACCACCGCCACAGCACATCTTGTATATATAGCTCGAGTTCTTCACGGAAATAGGTTCTTACAAGGAATGTGGATAAAAAGCCGCCAAAAACCCGTTGCCGTTGGTTGATTGGAGTTATCAATAAACCCTGTTTGAAAATAAGATATGCTTATCTTTTAACTTACTTTTTATTTACTTAAATTTTTACTTACATGACCATAAAACAGTAACAAGGAATTCACAAATAACGTGCTGATGTTTTAGATATAAAGGTCCAACTACGAATGTAGAAAAAAGTATAAGGTTTCCTGGATCTCGGAAAATTCATGTATTTGGGCCTACTAAGGTTTCCTATTTTAAATAAATAAATTCAAAGCTTATTGGGATAAAATGGATAAGTTTAGCAGTGATTAAAGACTATATAAGGCTCATAATTTGTAACCAATGAGTTTATACTTTTAAAATTCCATTGTTTTAAATAAACTTCATTTACTTTATGCAATTTTCCTGCAAACCGCATTCCGCTTACGCCTTAATTGTTCATGAATTCTGACTTCTACCGATGCTAATCGCTGGTCTTCGAATTAAGTTTTATAAACTCTCCTCACTCTCTCCACGAGCTCCAACAGAAAATTCAGAAAACTTCCAATGATCGGACAAGAATTAAAAAATAAGAACACACAAATACAATTTAATTATAACAGTAACATTTATTTACTATTCCTGATCCCAATTAAAAACCATTATACCATCATCACCATTAAATAACAACTTGATGCCAACTTATTATTGAAAACCATGCAAATCTGGGAGGGGAAGGAAACTATTTATATATACATAATTGAATTCCAAATAAGATGCGACTTACCCAACTTATAATACCAGTACCAGCGATAACTTCCAGTAGATATCATTTATGTGGGTGCATTGTGCTCTGTATCCCTAGTGTGAAGACTAAGCTATCCTAATTCCAACATATGGCTAATATCGCTTAACGATTATAATTAACAAAAAAGTCTATTCAAGAAAAATTAATTTATGAGTAAAAAAATAAAAATCCGAAATCGGAAACTTACGAAATTATATCGATATTAAGATTACCGAAAATGTAAAAATTTTGTATTAGTGCCACACAGTAAGAGAAATATGAATTGTTTTTAAAAATACGAGAAGGAGTGCAAGAAAAAACAACTTGTGTCACGGATAATGTATGGTGTAGTGGGCTAGAGTTTTGTTAAATTGGGCAAATTTTGTAGAGAATTTGAAGAACCCACTTTTAGCCATTTTTTGGAATTAAGATTTACAGATAAATTTTGAAAAACATTATAATTTTTACTTTATTGTTTGTTCCAAAACGCTGTGAACCTAACAAACTCTAGTTGACGAATGACTAAATAATTCAATCAGCTCTAGGTCCAGCTAAGCCGGATACACAAAAATCGTAGCCAGTTGCGATTTATTGAAATGGAAGTAAAAAATTTTAGGTCGGAGCAATCAAATGCATAGTATAAAAATGCTAAACATTTCTTTTCTGATTTGCCACGACCCAATGGACGGGCTTTATACGTATGAAAAGATCAAGATATAGGCTCTATTCGCATTCGTCACTAACCAAAAATCAGTTCATTTCTACGACGAGGATATAGAGATCATATAGGTATATATATATATTTATATATATGCGCATAAGCAACCCAAGCAATACGATCAGATATAGTACAGAGTGAAGAATGATAAGAACCTTTGTTTTGTTTTAGGACTTTTGTATATTTAATTTGCTGTTACAATTTTATTGAACGCAGTTTTCAATGGACATAATTTTGAGAGCTACATCATGAAAGCTGTAAGCTATTTTTCCTAGAATTCTTCTGCAACCGAGGTCCCATCGCCGCCTCATCCGAACTAGAATGTCAGTTCTCAGTTTGTGCTTCTACAGATGACAATTGGTAAAGTTAGCTCAGAAACAAAATTGGCAAAAACGTACCATAAACAACGTCCGTGCCAGAAGCCAGGACCACTTGGACCGCTACAGCTATTGAATGGTCCTTGGAATGAACAAAAGCTGGGATCATAGAAGCCACTTGGTGCAGCACCACCGCAGATGCCAATACAGCCAGCAGGATAGCACGTATATCCAAACATGATGATTTGGTGTGAGCTGTAAAAAAGCAATAGGAAAAATTGTAATATATAATATATATTGTGCAAATCTGATCAACTTACACTGCTCGTGTTACACGAAAAAATGAAAAATAATTTTTTTCAAAACTGAGTACCGAATTGGTTCAGTGCTGATGTTACTATAAATAATATTAATACATAATGTCAGGCTATAGTTGAAATGGGATTTGTAAATCAAAGACTACTGAGTGAAATGTGTATATGTATATATATATATATATAGGAGAGTATGCATTTCATATTCCATTTTACAATTTTTTATTTAATCACTCAGAATGTGGCGCGACCTTGTATGGTGTCTCCTCTTTGTAAGCATAGACTCCTCTGGTTCGGTTTACTACGACAATTGCGCCAGGCTCGATTGAAACGACTTTCACTGTCAAATTACTAGACATTTTTTAGTATCTTATTATTGTTTATACTCCCATTGAAATTGTTAAGCCAATAGTCGAATGTAGAATAATAACAATTTGCAATTAGTAGCTCATATCTTATGCATTTACTCTTTAATGTAAACAAAATACCAAAAAACTGTTAATAGCATGATCTACAGAAGGCACGACTACAATTAGCTTCCAGACCATGACGTTTTGCAATAGGACCAGGAGCTTTAGGCATGCAGCAGGGTCCACACGATCCGCAAGGACCACAAGATCCACAAGGACCACAGGGTCCACATGGTGCTCCACAAGGACCACAGGAGCCACAGCACGGGGAGCAGGGGGATCCGCAACATGAATAGCATGGATTACACATCCTGATATTGTGTCAAGTCCAACGGTTATACGATCAAGCTATATTTAAGGACTACGTGGAATAGAAACAACTATTGATTTTAGAAATGCTGTGAATTTTTTTTACTTATACTGAAAAATCTTCCCACAGTAATTTCTGGATGGATAGATAGAAAAAAACAGGATTAAGTCAATTATACATTTATTTATATATATTATGCTCACTTACATGTCCAAAAACAGTCACAGAAATTGGTATTGCAAAGTGAGCCCTTTTTTGTAGAAAATTCGAAAAGATTATGTGGAACATTTTCACCTGCTTTTGGCAGCAGTTCAAATTTTCGTTTTCAAGGCCTGCTTTGGAAATGATATTTTTAATTTTAATTTTATTCTGCTATTATCATGAAATATGTGAAATTAACTTATTTAATTATTAATTAAATCTTGCAGAAACCATATAAATGGTTTTATAAATTAATGTAAAGTAACTTTATTGGTATACATAAATATTATAAATAATAAAAAATAAAAAGCCAATGATTGGCTAAGATTTGATCTAAAAGCCATTATCAGAAAAATGAATCATCAGAAAAATTAATATTGGTATACATAAATATGATAAATAATAAAAAATAAAAAGCCAATGATTGGCTAAGATTTGATCTAAAAGCCATTATCAGAAAAATTAATCATGCGACGACTCAAACGAATTATAATATACATTTTATTTCACTAATCAAATAACGAATGGATTGGGGTATAAATACTTGTGAATAAATACACGAGAAACAAAATGTAACTCGAGGACTTGAAGGAATTGAAGGAATATCAATAGATTTATTTTTATTTAATTTCTTTCTGCCTTTCGCTTTGCAGTACTCCATATTGCCTAAATTATTATTATTTATTTTATTCATTTTATTTAATTTATTTTATTGATTTTATTTATTTTACTTATTTTTTATTTATTTATTTATTATTTATTAAAAAATATAGAAATAGAAATTCGATGATCGCTTACCGAGCTATTTTCAGTATGCTACACCAAAAATGTCTTAGCAGCTTCCGAAACTAATTGCAATTGAAACATGCTATATAGAAAATCGATTTCAATTTGCTATTTATTCGTTATACAGTTACAATGCAAGAGGTCAATCTATAAAATAGTATTTTTTAGTGGTGCATAATTACTAAATTTTGTTCTGAAGATAAAAATCAGTTAATAGCAATATCTACAGAATCCAGGAGTACAACGCGGTTCAAGGCCATGCCGCTTATAGCAAACAGGGCCACAGGAACCACATGAACCACGGTATCCGCAGGGTCCACAGGATCCGCATGGGCCACAGCAGGGACCGCAGGAACCGCAACAGGGATAGCACATTTTGGCAGATCGAGTAGCTCTGTTACTATAGGAAGCACGCTGTACCGCGGCTATTTTTAATAATTTGTTCTTGCTCACACAAATATTCAATGTTTGATATGCAAAAAACTTTTAGATTTTTCAAATACTGTGATTATTTTCAGCTCTTTAGTCTCTATAAGGGCGATGTATGTTCAACCAGTATGTATCATCACATAGAGTGACAACTAAGAAATAAAGGAATGATTTTTAATTTTTAAAAATTTTAGTTTTTATATTCTACTTACATGTCCGAAAATAGTCACAAATATTCGGTAACTGTATACTAAGTTATTTTCTGAAAAAGATTCTCTGAAGTACTGAAGCCAGTTGACTTGACTTCGGCTAGTCTCTAAAATTTTCGTTTCAAAGCCTCCTTTGATTCATTATTTTGATATTTTGTGCTCTGCTAGTTGAAAAAACTAGATATAAAAATATATATAGATTATATTTGGCATTAATAGAATAAAAGTAAGAGTGAAGAACGACCAACGCTTACCGCGCTTAGGCATTTTGTTTTTTCATTTTAAATTAATATATTTTCAAATTATAAGTTACCCAAAACAAAACTAATTTCAATTTAGATGAGGTTATATTGATTCGGCTAGTTATAGATAAAGAAATACATGGGATTTTTTTCTCCCTCTTTAAAATATACTAAACCACCTTGAGCCTGAGCTCAATAATTTCCTATTTAAAAAAATAATGAGATTAACGATTAATATATCTTACAATCCAGAAATACATTTTACTAAACTGCGAGCATATCTAGTAAATAATACTCGCTAATTCAGATCCTATGACACCTGCACAGGGTCCACAATTATTCCACATCGATATTGATATCTAGTCAAAAAGCAAAAAATCAGAAATCTAAATTTACATATAAAAAAGTCGCACAATAATCTTTAAATTATGTTTTTATTTCCTTTATCTAGTTTATTGAAAAATAGCGCCATTTCTATTTATAAATAATTTTGAAAGACCAAGGGCTAGCATTCTTCCCAGTTTTCTCCAGTAGCCCAAATTCTCTATAACCGCCTCAACCATGCCAATCAGTGTCAACTGCTTCTTCGATATTTATGCTTTGATACACGTATTTCTTTCTTTGCTTACGAGGAAGAACATACGAATCGCAAAAGAACAAACTCGCAAATATAGATTACCAACAGGTACCACCCCACAAGCCACAATAGCCCAATCCCCGACATGGGCCAGCCATCGTACCAAAGCTGGGATCATAGAAGCCGCTCGGCGCACAGCTGCCGCAAGAGCCGATACACGCCGCAGGATAACAGGGCCAGCTGCACATGGTGATTTGGTGAGAGCTAAAAAAAATATATATTAAAATAATAATTTATTATTTATTTATATAGAATGAAACTTTACATTTTTAGGCTACACAAAGAGAGGAAAAATTTCCAAGTTTTCAAAAGTTATTTATTTCGTGAGCTGTTTTACGAAAGGTTGTAAGTAACTAAATGAAGTAAATAAAAGAAAACAAGTCATACAGACTTCCCTAGTTGTCAGACTGAATAAGACTTCAGCAACTGCTTTGTTCACAAAAATAATTTAATTCCAGATCTTCAAATTTCTCACACAATTTTAATTAAGTTCTTCACGTGGCTTTGTTACACCTCATTTTATGGCACTCTAAGGCTGTCAAAATATATACATATAGGACAATGAAAAATCTCTGCCTGAAGTGCCAATAATTAAGTTAAGAACCACATGAATTAAAAAGTGCTGAGGCTGAAGGGAAAATGTTGAGTGCATGAAAGACAAAGCGGAAATTAATATCACGCACGCTGTGCTACAGAGTTGAATAAATTAAATGATATTAGTCGCTACTTTGTATATATATATATACATATACTATATGTATACTATATATTCTTGTGGTCTATGTGGCTGCTGTTGCCGCGTGTGACAGGCAAAGTCGAGCGACTTGTCAATGCTGTCAGACCATCAACTCAATAGCTGTCTCTTTCACTCTCTCCCTCTTTCTCTCTCCAAAATTAAGTGCGAAAATGTGCAAATTAGATTTTGTGGTTGACGCAAAGACTCCAACACACACACGGACAGCCAAAAGTGAACAGCAAATGGGACAACAACAACTCACCTTTAATTACAGCCAGTCAATGCGACGTATACGCAACGCGGCATCTCTAGTAAGCAACAAGAACTTTTTGACACCACGCATATGAATTAATTAGCAATTGCCAACACAGCCTGACATGCTCTGCTATTTACCGAACAGCTCTCTTCACTGACAACTAATATATGGATTATGTCTGAGCATGAAATTCAAGCCGAAAGGAGCAAAAGTTGGCTGTGAGATTGTGGAAAATTAAATACACTTACAAAGGTATTTATAAATATGTAAACATGTATTAAAGTGTATAAAAATATATAAAAATATATAGAAGGATGTATAATATTTGTGAATATGTTTTTTTAATAAATTTATTATAAATAATAAATAAATTATATAAACTATAAATTATATAAATAACATTTAATTCCAATTCATATTTTAACGAAATTATAGAGAGAGTTAATTTAATAAATCCAAGTCAAAATAACTTTAGTAACTTTTATTACAGAATTCAGAAAGCTGAATTATAATGCATATATGTATAAATATATATATATCTTTAAAATATATATTCTCATTTGACATCTCTTCATTTTTTTCTGGTACTATAACCACTGAGTTTCATAGTCCTTAGATAAAGTTGACAATATCCAACTCTATAAGTGTATAAAACATATTTAACATTTGATATTATAAATGTAGTAAGCCATGCGATTGAAGAGCCCTCAGGGTGAATACTCCTGATAAGTTGGAGAGCATGTTACGCCTTGATTGATGCCAAGTAAATACCAGTAATACCAGTTGAACCGGGGCTTGACAAAAACTTAAATGGCATTAACCGTAGTTAAATCTAGTAAAGGAATTCTCATGCCTGCTTCGCCATGTCCTTGATAGCACTTGCATACAATTATAAAGCCATTAATGTCAAACGGAATGACACAGGACACATTCAATGTCCACCCATACAGCTACACATACAAACACATACAGTGAGTTGTGAAGCATTGTAATTGATTACACTTGGGACCAGCTTCATTTCGACAGGGCCCCAAAGACAAGGCCCCAAAACCCTGCATTTAAAAACTATGCTTCGGTTTGTTGTAGGGGTAAATTATGGTCTGCTTGTGTGTGTGTGTGTATGTGTGTGAGTGTGCTGCAACTGTCAATTTAAAATGTCACAACCAATAATAAACAACAAGACACACACAACACAGTGAGTGAGTGAGGCAGACAGACATATTTATTGGATGCATACAATACAGAAATCAATGTTAATTGTTGACTGAAATCAATTGTTTAAATTGCCGAGCAATTTTTTAAGTGTTTCATTGAATTTTCGTTTTTTATACCCTCAGCTCATTGAAAATGGAAATTCAGGGTATAATGGCTTAGTGAAAATGTGTGCAGGAGGCGGGCTAGACCCCACAGTATATATATTCAACGAGATGAGTTGATCTAGCCCTGTTCATCTGCCTGCATGATTTAAGTTGCAACTCTGCGGGGTATTCCCTAGTCGGTCATGCTCAATCAGCGCACACTCTTACTTGTTTTATATACATTTTTGTTGAAGCACTCTCTGCTTTGGCTGCTGCCAACACATTTAATTGTTTTTATTAAGGATCTGTTCATGAAAGAAATCATTTATTCAATATTTACACATTGCACTCTGTGACGATTTAATAATACTTTATAAATTGTAAATGCATCAAGTTTTTTTCCCAAGGCATTTTTACAAGCAAAGATTTTGCTTGATGTGAAGAGCGATACTACAATTGTGTTGCATAATTCTCTTACCTTAATATGGGCTGACCAAACCAAGTTTCTGTGGCTATATTTAAGCAGCTGCTTAAGATAATAATATGCATCTGATCAAATATGCAATATAATTTGCCATCAAAAATGATTTGTTTTATCTGTCACATAAATTTGAGAGAATTTTTATATAAGTCGTTAAATGTCGATAGTCCTCTAGGCTTGAGTACACTCTTTTGGATTGAGATTGAACCTAACTAAAGAAAATACAATACTAAACTACTGAGCCGAATAAATCCAGTATTAACTTAGTCACCCTATAGTATATTGAACTAAAATATTGGGTCCTTTTTTTTCAAAAAACTCTATATTTATTTTATTATTTATGTTGTAAGAATCTGAGCTTTTATAATAAGAATGATTTAACTTAGCTTGAAAAAAAAAACAGTAGCAATAAATAATAAAAAAATAAAAATAAAAAAAATTTATATAAAAATATATATACTTTTAACTTAATTATTTAATATAAATATGTGTATTTAATATATATTATATATAAATTATATATAAATATATATATATATATATATAAAATATAAATTATTTAAGATTAATTAAATAGAAAATAAAAACTTTGAATTGTATGTAAATTTAAGTATTTTTTTGTGAATTCGAAAAGTAGAGTATCAGGCAGTATAAGTCTAGGACTGTAAAAAAATATTCCGTTAGCTTATTAAAATCTGATCAGAAAGGTATATGTGGGCAGCTTGTCCACATAAGCCGAGAGCAATTGTTATTAGTTTTTCGTTCCATTCGACTTCAATCATAGATATTTGACTTTGCAGAGTATCTATCTGTTGTGTCGACTTACTGGCCACAATTTTGTTTTCGGTCGAGGCGTAAGTCAAGTTAATGCCAAACAATTTGTCAACAATTCGTATTATCAGATTTTTGATTGAAATTTTTGTTTGCATTTTGTTGACGTTTTGCGTACTACTTGTAGTTGAGTTGAGTTGAGTGAAGATTGATTTGCTGGGGCAGCAGCAGACACAGTGAAAACAATAGCACTTGCAGCACAGTGTGCAGTTGAAGATGAAAATGATTGATTCGCCATAATGCGGCAGTCAGAGGAGAAGGGAGCGAAGCGATTGGACTGAGCATTCACTCAAGAGTTTCTATTTGAGTTGAGTTCTTGTTTTAAACTGAAATATTTTTGTATGTGTGTGTGTGTGTGCTTTTTTATGCTCGCCGGACTAATCATCAATCAATCAATCATATGCCCGGCCATTGCTGCTGCCATGCATAAAACAAGAGAGGCAAGCGCTTCAAGCTACAAGCCCAGCAAAGTATGCAACACTTTTTCGTTTCAGCTGCACAATTACCATCTGTGTGTGTGTGTGTGTGTTTGTGTTTACTTTGTGTTTGCTTTACAACTTAACGGAGCAGACGCAGCCGCAGTTGCTGGCTTTATCGCAGTTTGTGAATTTAATTTCAGCTGTCAATCAGCGTTCATTACGAGCTTTAAAACCGCATTTGAAGACTTACCAAAAGAAAATTGCGCATACGCCGCGGCACAATGCCAGGTAAACACAAGGCCATTCACACACACACACACACGCAGAGACACTCACTTAAAAGAGGAGACGCCAAATTGATTGTAATTGACACTTATTGGACAGCAGACGCTGACAGAGCTTCGCCGTGCGGATTGTGAACCTTTGCGCTTTTGTTTCGTTTTATTTATTTTTGCCTTTTTTCTTTTAAAAAGCCGAAAGATTGTCTCTGCACAGAAATCAATAAGCAGTAATATCGTTGGATAAGAATGCTTCTCTGAGCCAAAGTATTTCAGCTATTCAATATTGTTGTAACTTTGTATTTTTATATTAACGAAAAACGAGCTTGGTTTTAAGCTGAAGAACAATAATTGAAATAATAAATAATAAATAAATAAATAAATAATAGAGATTTGTAGAGAATAATTGAAATAATAAATAATAAATAAATAAATAAATAATAGAGATTTGTAGAGAATATGAATATTAACTTATGATAAATATGTTAGGCTTTAGGCTTTAAGACTGTAGAATATACAGTTTTTCCTGATTTTCCTACCCCCAATGGGTGTACGTCTATACTACAATTTATTTCGACTTTCGCACCTCCTTCCTGTCTATGAATAAGTTAAACAGAATGATAGAAGCCTTCAATGTATCGACTAGACTAGTGCGAACTTTTACTTGTTGCACACACTTTAGTCAAAGTTTCATTTGATAAATCTGTGTACATGGCAAAAGAAATACAAAAGCTAGGAGAATAGTAAAAAACAACAATAATTTCAATTGAAGAATCTTATTTATTATGCTTAGCAACAAAACAGAGAAATAGAAAGGAAAAAAAAGACTTTTCAACGGAACAAAGCATAGTTGAAATAAATTGAAATATTTTTCATTTAAAGCTATCTACATGGAAAACAGTCTCTCTACAGCTTTTCAGACAAGAATTCTAGACAGAAACGAAGTAAAAAAAAGTAGAAAAGAAATAAAACAAAGTAATCGACGAACCGATTTAGCAATTTGAAATTTTGTTTGTGGCCAAAAAACGTGTCTAGCATACTTGATGTCTCTATCGGTTTTTGTTAAT